CTGAAACCTGCGAGCATGGTTGAGAACAACCTGTATGAGGGATCACCCATTGAAGACCCAAACTTTTACCTTGCTAGTTTCTTAGAACTTTGTGGCACGTTCAGGTATAACAATATCTCTAATGACACCATTAGACTGAGGCTATTCTTTTTATCACTTAAAGATAAAGCAAAGAAGTGGTTGAACTCTTTAGCACTAGGATCAATCATTACTTGGAACGACAACCTAAAAAGACTTACTAAATATTTTTCTCCATCCAAAACTACCAAACTAAGGAATGTCATCACTTACTTCACCTTGTTAGATGGAGAGTCCATTTACGAAGAATGAGAGAGATTCAAAGAACAACTTAGGAAATGCCAAAACCATGCTCTAATTGACTGCCTGATCATTCAAACCTTTTACAATGGATTGATGAGATCTTTAAAGTTTATCATAGACAGTATAGTTGGGGGTCCCTTATGTCAAAACTATTTGACGAAGCCCACTCATTGATAGAGGAAATGACAATGATTATATTTTAATGACCATATGAGAGAATCACCTCTAAGAAGATAGTTAGTGTGCATGAGATTGATATTTTGACTATCCCAGCCTTAGAAGTTGTTGTCATTTCTATGAAATTAAACAACTTAGGGATGAATTTGGTACCAAGATCCCTACCTACTAATGAAATGGCTTATGAAATGGTAGGAGAACCTAACATTGCTACTTTGGAGTCCCAGAATGTCGTAAGAAATATTTTCAACAATCTCTATTCTAATACTTACAACTAAGGCTGCAAAAACACTCACCATTCATAGTGGATTATTTCAACTAGGCTATGTCCCATAATTTTTTTTTTCTTTTTCCAGAATTTTTCACGATCCTAAAAATTGAGGTATCTCCTCTTGATTAATTCTCTTCAATTATCTAAATGTGTGTTGAGTTTCCGTGCAATGCTAAGGCAACAATTCATTACGTACCGCCACAGACCTTCTGACATGCATCAATAAGTTATATTGCCCTTTTAAAAAGTTAATAATGATGATATTTCCAAGTGTTACAAATTTAATATGAAAGTTTAGGTGTTACATATATAAATATATAAGAATTTTATGATATGTAAGTAAAATTTTTCAAAATTTAAAATAAATCATCTCTTATCTGATATCGGTCAGGACGAACATTTTCATAAGGAAATTTTGACAATGTGTTGGTTCATACTCACTATTTACACGTCAATATCAACTAATATTTAGGATATTAGGAGCTCTTGACTGTTTCTTTTCTTACTGTTTACTAATACAATTTCTGAACATTTGCTTTAAATCTATGAATCAAATTCCTGAACATATAAATTTTAATACTTTAAATGATATTTATGCAACTCTGCTAAGATTTATTGTTTATGCTTATTAGAAGCTATTTGGTCAAACGAACAAGCGTCGGAAAGTTATTCATAGTTGGAGATGTTTACTTTTGGTTGATTGAGACGTTCATTTATATTTTTCGAAGGCTATACTTTTTAGTCCTTGCCATTCCAAGAAGATTTGTGTGGTTCTACGGTCAAATTAACTATGAGACTCGGTCGATCGTTATTATATTAGATTAGCCAACTGTACAAACTAAATCAAATGAAAATTAAATTCATTTAGTCTTCTTGCGTGTCAAAAATTTCATGATCATAAATTAATAATTTAATGTCTTTGAATTGTTCGGTGATCCGGTAAATAAAAATAATTTAAAAGTAGTAGGAGGAGACATCAAGATTTCTTAATCCTTAAAAGAGAAAATAATGCGGGGCCTAACCAATTAAAGTTTTCCAAAATGTGTAACTGGGGGAGCAATTTTACAACTTCACACCAAAGATAATGTACAAAAAACTTCAGGAGGAATCAGGAGAAAGTCGTTGTGTTCTTAATATAACGGTTGTAAGCAGTTGCCACTGAAAGTTAGCGTCGGATCTTCAATATAGTGTTATTTGCAGCTTCGTATTTGAGATATGTCGCTACGTACACCATATTCGGGATATGACTTTACAACTTAAAGTTTGTTGATGACAACGAGCAAAGAGGGATTGAAAATGGTCGATGGTGGTCGGCGGCCGAAGGTCGATGGTATTCATCGACTACACCAGCCGGAAGGTATCGTATGAATTTCAGTTCAAAACAGCACTGAAATTGAAGTCATTCTTCTCCTCATCCAAGTGAAGTGAGAAGGTCTATCACAGCTTATAGGGAATGGGAATTTTTGTCATTTTGGTAAGTAATTTTCACAATTATTTGATCGGACGACCTGTATTGATCCTTCATAATGATAATAGTTTTTAATGGTTTGATGACATTAATGATCTAAGAATTAAGGGAGCTTGTGCTTGTTGGAATCCTCTTGTCGATATGTTTGATTTGAATATAAATATTTAAAATTTAGAGTTTATTTGACCATCTAATTGATGATCCGAAATTTCAAAAAATGTTTTAATGATTTGATCTGGATTTAATTAGACTCAGATTGCGTCAATTTTGATATCATTGAATTTGTTTTGTTCACATGATTAGTATGACTACAAATACGCTGAAATTGAGTCCCTGGATTGTCATTAATTTGAATTTGAAACATTTTTTTATTAAAAAAAAAACCTCTAAAGCTAATAAAAACTTATCAATGACTTGTCAAATTTAAATATATTTTAATCAAAATAAAAAAAAAAATTTGAAAAAATTAGACTAGATATGCAGTAGAATTTTTTCTGATAATTTTTTTAAAATTACTTAATTTGATTTAAGATAAATAAAAATATAGATTTTATTGATTATTCTAACATAATATTTAAAATTAAAAAAAAAGAGCTCAATATTTTTAGTAATAAAAATTAAATGGTCGTTATTATGCCGGTTTTGTAAGATGGGATTTATTGGATAATTTTATAGTTTCTTTTGAGTTGGTGAGCTTCAAATTAGAAAAATATATTAACATCGAGCTACGTTCGGGTGATGGTCGTGATTCAGTGAAGGTCAAGATGACAGACGTAATAATCTCTCTTAAATTAGGGCCTATTAATGAAGGAGAAAAATGCCAATATCTAGTCAATTTATGACAGAATGCGTGTGAAATGGTGACTTAAATACCGCAGATTGCCAACGCAAGCATAAGTGAATGATTTCATGACATTGATATTTCTTTGTCTGCGCCTTTTTCTTTTCTTCTTTTTTCATATAAATATCTTTAATGTATGAACGTAAATTTTTTTTTCTACATAATGAATTTATAAAAGGATTTATAAAGTCAAAATTATTTTAAAAGAAATTTAAAAAATAAATAAATAAATTCATGTACTCTACTTGTCATGCTCTATACTTGTGATTATATTAACCATTAATTTTAGGTTAATATTTTTGTCATGATTGAAATTACATTAAAGCCTTTTATCACAGTACATAGAAAATATTACCGCATGAATCTGGAGGAAATTCAACAATTCTTTCTTAGGAACACCAAAAGGCATTATTGAGATAGTCGAAAAACATAAACATTAAGTATCATTTCTTTATGGTTGGAACTCTACACGGCCAAACACATGAATAGAAAACACATAAACTGAGGGACAACTATTGATAAACAACTCCTTTAGTTGATTCTGAAATTACTAACAAATATGGCCAAAGGGTACCTCTACAGAACGCCTTTCCGATCCTCTCAAAAGGCTCCTTATCAAAGGAGAGTTACTCGTCCGATTATGATAATACATCCTTTACCTGACCCTAAAGACATGAGAGCTTCTATTCAGAATTTCATTAATATTATCCATCGATGACCTTTCAACATGTTCCTGTTTAGTTTATTAAATTTATTTATTAATAAGATGGTGTCTCAATCGGATTGAGTTTGAATTTATACATATATGATTCTTGGGAACTGTTAACCAGTACACCACCACAGCTTACTACACCATTTTTTTTTCAAGAAGATTTATGTCATTGACGTTAAAGAAAGGCAGAGCGTCCGGCCGACGGACTTAGTATTTTTATTAATAACATAAATTATATGGCTGGTATTATGCCGGGTTGTACGATGGGGCTTATTGGATAATTTTATAGTTTCTTTTGAGTTGATGAGCTTCAAATTAGGCAAAAATATTAAGTCTGTCCTCGGGGACATCGAGCTCCATTTAGATAACGGCCGTAATATAGTAAAGGTCGGAAGGATGAACATAATAATCTCTCTTAAATTAAGGCCTTTTAATTAATGAAAGAGAAAAATGTCACCATCTAGTTAATTTATGACAGAATCCGTGTGAAATAGTTACTTAAATAACGACAGCTGCATATGTCAATACAACGCAAGCATAAGTGGATGATTTTAGCAGATTGATATTTCGTTGTCTGCATCTCAGCATCTCTATCTTTTCTCCGTTTCTCATAGAAGTATCTTTAATGCATAAAAGTTTTTTTTTCCTACATAATGAATTTATAAAAGGATTTATAAAGTCAATATTATTTTAAAAGAAATTAGAAAAAAATTAAAGAAATTATTGTACTCTACTTGTCATGCTCTATACTTGCGAGTATAGTAACCATTAATTTTAGTTTAATATTCCATTAATTTTAGCTTAATATTTTTTATCCTGATTGAAATTACATTTAAAGCTTTTACCCTAGTACATAGAAAATATGACCGTGTGAATCTGGAGTAAATTCAACAAGTCTCGTTTATGAACATCAAAGAACATTATTGACATAATCGAAAAACAGAAACACTAAGCATCATTTTCTTACGATTGGAACTCTAAGCAAACCACACAGAAGCAAAACCAAACAAATGAATAGAAGACACATAATCTGAAGGACAATTATTGATAACCAGCTCCCTCAATCGATTCTAAAATTCCTAACAAAGATGGCCAAAGGGTACTTCCGTGGAACACCTTTCCGATCCTCTGAGAAGGCTCCTTATCAAAGGAGAGCTATTCTTCCGATTATGATGATACACTCTCCACCTGAGGGCTCAAATTACTCAGAATTCCATTGATAACCTTTCAATCATATTTAGTTTATTAAATTTTTTTATTAATTTAAATAAATAAGATAGAGTCTCAATCGGATCGAGTTCCAATTTCTATAAAAATATATGATTCTTAGGAACTGTCAACCACTGCACCACCACAGCTTACAACACTGCACGGTATTCCTATTTTTTTTTTTTCTTGGGTTTATGTCATTGAGCTTAACGAAAGGCAGAGATGTTCTACGCAAACTGCTGCACCAGCTGCATTCCCTGATCTTCCACCAGTCCTCCATCCTCAACCTGCACATCCCCCGCATCCGTCGCCGTCGGAACCCTTCTAAGCTCATCCAAAAGCTTCTCCAGCATCACATAAGATGAACCCCCCTTCGCCACCGCCGCCATAGCTTTCCCCTTCAGCCCAGCCACCTTCTCCCTCGCTCTCCTTCCCTTCTCCCCTCCCATCAGCTCTCTCACCGCTCCCTCCACCTCCCTCCGCCCCACCACCATCTCCCCCGCCGGCTTCCTAATCCTTAGCCCCATACCAATCTCCTCCGCAACCATCTTCGCGTTCATGCCCTGCTCCGCGATCATTGGCCACCCCAGCACCGCCACGCCGGCCGACACCGCTTCAAGCACCGAGTTCCACCCGCAGTGGCTCACGAAACCACCCACCGCCACGTGGCCCAAAATCTCCTCTTGCGGCAACCATCCTCTCTCTATTCTCCCCAAATCCCCCAAACCCTCGGGTGGCACCCACCTCTCCGACCGCACCGCCCATAGGAAGCGAACCCCGGCGGAAACCAGACCGTGCGCCACCTCATCCAGCTGCTCATCGGAAACCTCGGCCTGCGTTCCGAGTGGGACGCGAGCTCTGGGCCTGCCGGTCGAGCCACCGAACGCAATCCGAGTCGGAGGTTGGTTTGTTGATTGCCGGTTCACCGCCGGACAGAAGGTTTAGCGGGCCGAGGAGCCACACACGTCCTCCCGCCACCGGTTTGTAGAATGACTCGAGGAGTTGAACGTATGCCGGCGATTCAAGCTCGGCGAAACTGTTTACGATGACGCCCCAACTCCCTATGTCTGTTTCTCCGATTAAGTTTAGAAACTGAGTTTCTGGGTTAAGCGGGTAGACTGAGTTGAGAACACTTTCCGGCACATCGGTTTTGGTAAGCTGGAGCTCCGGCGGGGCTCCGGGGACTGAAAAAGGGTCGTGTTTGGGAATATTGAGCCAGAGTGATTTGCAGAGGGACATCGAGAAGGCGGACATGCCGTGGAAGACGAGGCGAGGGAGGCCGAAGCGGCGGCAGATGGGGAGAGTCCAGCCGAGGAAGAAATCGGAGATGAGGCAGAGCGGAGGGGATGGGGAGCGGAGGAGGATGCGGAGGAGGATGAGGAAGGGAGCTTGGAGGGAGGTAGTGGCGGCAAGGAAAGTGGGAAAGAGGGAGAAGGAGGGGAGGGATTCGGTGGATTCGATGCCGGCGGGGAGTTCGGGGTGGGTGGGGAAGGGGAGGAGGAGGAGACGAATTTTTTCTGAGGTGGCGGGGGAGGATGAGAGATGGTGGCGGAAGAAGGGAGCGTTGGCCGGGGTTGTGATGAGGGTGACGAGGATGTTACGGGAGGAAAGGGTGGCGGCGAGGTGAAGGAGGGGGATCGAGTGGCCTTTGGATAAGAAAGGGAAGATGAGGATGTGATCTTGCTTTGCGGCGGCGGCGGCGGTTGTAAAGCTCATTTTGGTGTTGAGGATGGAATAAGCTTATAAGCTGAAGAGTTTATCAGGAAATCACAGAGTTTGAGATGGTTTGCGGTGGGGGAGTGGGTTATATAGGCGAAATTCTGAGAAAGGAAAGCATATTCCAAAGTTCCATGGAAGGAAAAGAAATTTTATTAGAATTAATTTTCATTTATATGTGTTTCTATCATTTTTTTAGGAAAATAAATCAGTTAGATATATTTAATTTTTTGATATAAGTATAATATATAAAAAAAATAAATTTTATCCTTTATATTTATTTTAAAATAAATCTAAAGATATTGAGATATATGATGTCTAAATATATAATCCTTAGTTTACTTTATTTTGAAAAAAAAAAAATAGACCAAGCAAAATTGCATCTCATTAGAGATCTCAAAATACAAATGGAGTATAATTGGTTTTCTATGTGAAGTCTCCTAAATAGAATGAAGTCGAACTCTTAAAAGTAAAACTACATTTAGTTTAACTATTACAGTGTCAACAAAAATTTCAAAGTTAAGTGTGCTCGGGTTGGAGCAAATTTAGGTAAGGCTGTAAACGAGCCGAGCTTGAACAAGCTCAAACTTGACTTATGTTTGGCTCATTCGAAAGTAGCTTGTGTTCAAAATTTGCTCGTGTATGAAATTGCTCATGGTAGAGTGTTCATGTTTGGTTCGATTTTTATATTATTATTCGTGTTCAGCTTGTGTTTGACTCTAAATTTGCTTGTTTAAATTAATTAAAAAAAATAAATGTATATGTTAGATTTGAACATACACCAATTTTTTGAGATGAAATTAAGGTGCAGAATCACTAGAGTACATGGGTTGTTATGAGTTAAACTTAGATCTAAAATGAGCCGAACACGATTACAATCAAACAAAGGGTTGTTCATGTTCGTCTTATTTTGTAATGTGAGCTTAATAAATTTGTTCATATTCGCTCCTTTACTTAAAAAACGATTCAAATACAAGCTGCTCAATGGGCCAAACATGAGTTGTTTGCGAACAATAAGCTTTATTAATAGTCTTATACTCTTAGTATGGGCGACCTATTGAGAAGTTAGACCAATGGGTGATAATCATGTGACCATTGGGTCAAAGTGGGCAATATCTCGATGAATGAGAGTTTGGGTTTTTATAGATGGTATCAAAGCATTACACCATTATGAAGATAGGAACTAAATGTCATATAGAACAAAGTGCTACAACATATAAGTTACCTCTTGAATTTATAGGGCCCACCTTTAGAATCCTATATGCATAGTGAATGATTATGGGTTAAGAAAACTGACAAAGACATCAGTTACTTAAGTAAGAGAGATTGTGAAGCCCTTTAAGTAGAATAAAATTTAACTCTTGAACATTGTGGCTCTTTTAGTGTAATGATTGGAGTTTTGACAAAAACTCCAAAGTTAAGTGTGTTTGTGCCAAAACACTCTTGGTATGGGTGACCACTTGTGAAGTTGTACTAATGAGACAAAACCTTGAGGTTGCTAGGCTAAAGTGGACAATAACTTTATGAATGGGAGATCAGTTTTTTACAATCTCAGCCAAAGATTCGAAATATAGAATCCAAGAAGGATGATCCATCCTTATGGTTGTCAGCTCTTTGTTCACTTGATTTTATCTCCGTTTCACTGCTTGCTTTCTCTGCAGGCATTTGAGGTTGACTCTTTCGATTAATTTTAGAAATTTTATTCATTTAAGTTTAGACAATGTGATTGATGAACTTACCCTCGTTGTGATCTCGTATGTTATTTTTGCTAGAATTGTAATTAAATCAAGTATGCTCGAGCAAAAATTTGTTCAACTTTGATCATGTTGGATCTTGGATTCACACACTCAAAGAAAGAGTTAAAAAGAAAGAAATGGTTTTGAATGTAAACAAGATTCACTAGATGATTTATTTTGTATAATGTTTGAGGATTCATCTCTCTTTCTATAATGACTACTTATATTTATAGAATGGTTGACTCATACCTTATCAATATACTAAGTAACACAATTATGACAACCCAAAACATTGCTTTAACGTATTTAATTTTGAGCTTAACCTTTATTTGATAACTTATTGTAGCTCCCGAGTTCAATTTATTTTAAGTTTAGAGTTGTTAAAGTTGGCTTGAACTTAGTTGGAGTTTGCATAAAAATATAATTATTGAGAGTTTGTTAAACAACTTGTTTTGTTCAATTAAGTAGTCGTACTATCGAGTAGTTTGCCATCAACTAAATAAATCTTATCAGGAGCATTAACATGCAGTAACATCAAGCAACTTGTTTGTTAATTGAATACTAATCATAGAGATTTGGCTCAACAAGTATATTTTTTTGGTTTCTAGTGCAAAGATTTCAATCATCAGTACCAATGAATGCATTTACACTTTTATTCTCTCTAGTTCATCATGCACTAGCTCAAACCTTCAAAGAGAAATAGATAAAAAATCATAAGACTGAGACAAAAATTCAAATTCAAATTCTTTTAAAATTAACAGTGACTTCTTCGGGCTAGAAATCGTAATGAATAGAATGCTTTGAATTAAGACAACTTTATAACCACTAAATTTGTAATGAATAGATGGGTTGGATTAAGACTTTTGTAAAATTTTCATTCGTTTTTTATTGGCTTCTTCGAGGTAGATTTGGCTAAGCAGTTGTTGTTGACGGCCGTTAATAATAAAGTCCCTAATTAACGAATAAAAGTCAAGAATCATCTCGAATTTTGATAGACCAAAAATCAAAGTCATAAAAATTTAAAGGAAGACTTGACGAGTAGGTTAATTTGCATGCAAACCACCCGAAACTCGTTTACAAATCAACCAGTCCCTTTCATCCTTTTCTTAAATTCTCACTTGGGGGTAGTCTGTACGTAATTATCCCATTATATTATTAATGAAAGATAATGATGGTTATGCAAAAGTTGCTTCTGTTTATAAATAAATTCTACTATCAGAAATTTTATGGCATAGGGTGATAATTAAACATCTCTCTGTTGTACAAAAATAGAGCTCAAATATCGATGATTGAATAGTAACAAGAGCCTGTTTGTAGTAATTCTTTGTATGTATTTGCAAGGAGACACACTTATCCTACAATTAGGAAATAAAAGTTACAACGCCACACCGAGTACAATACTTATCTATTCACAATTTATATAATATTTTAAGAGAATGAAGAAAGTTTTTGTACTATAAGAACGACGTTTGAAAGTAGTCGTCGCTAAATGTTATCATTAAATTTGTACTATGACGTCATACATTGCACCATATTTAGGATAATTCGTTACCAGGTATTTCAGATATTTCATTGCACGGTATTCAAAATACTTTGTTGTATTGTATTAAAGAATATGTTTTAACACAAGAGAGTTCACCGGTGGTGGAAATCAATGGCGGCCATTGATGGTTGGCGGTTGGCGGGTGATTGTCAACGATGGTTAGCAGATACAAAACAGTATTGAAATTTAACTCATTCTCTCCACCTCAAATAAAGAGAGGGGTTAATGTACATATCTACATACATACATACATACATACATATATATATATATATAT